TTCCCTGGAAAGATGAAGGCTGTTTTTCATCACCCAAACACAACCAGAAAGCTGTAAATTTCAAAAATCTGATTCTCTTACACATTCCCAGGGCTAACTGAGTCAGAGGCCTGGGTTACTTTGTCATATAGGTGAGAGAGGAATCATGTTTTCAAGCATGGCTTTGCTGATAACATCTTCTCAAGAGATTCAGAATCAGGAGAAGCACCTTTGACCAGGAAATTGAAAGAACTTCTATATGTTTATATCAACATATTTGTCTGCTCTGGCCTCCACACTTTTCAGAAAGATAGCATGACATAATAGACAGCATGGAGGATGGTGGAATCAGGAAGGTCTAGGTTCACATCGTTCTTCAGATACTTATTAGCTGTTTGAACTTGGTGGAGTCCCTTAATTTCTCCGAGCCTGTTTCCTGACCTGTAAAACCAGTCATTTCAGTCATATCCAACTCTTTGTGACTCCATTTAGGGTTTTCTTGGCAGAGATACTAGAGTGGTTTGCCATTTCCTTCTCCAGCTCTTAAGATGAAGAAACTGAGGCAAACAGGTTAAGGAGGTTCAGTATAGGTTTTCTCTGGCTGGGGACCTAAGAATAGAGACAAGGACCTCACACAAGGGCAACTTGGCAGTCAACATTTGCTGTCCTCAGGAGCAAAGTAGGACAAGGTAAATGGCTACTTAAGCCCTAAGGTCCTAAGCTCTGGGTACCTCTGCCACTGGCATGCTTAAAGGATAGCTTGTGAAGAAAATAGAGCAGGAGTGATTAGAAGAAAGGAAGCGGGAGAGAAAAACAGGAAAGGAGGAACAAGAAAGGAGAGAAGAGAGCAAAAAAAAAATAATTAAAAGGAATATTACCAAATCTTTCCCAAGTCTTTTAGGTTTCTCAAAGAAGCCTCCCTCATTCACAAGCCTTCTCCCCAAAATTCCAAGTTCTTCTAATTCAATAAGAATGGAGGATATTTACAGTATTTTCAGAGAGCTCTAAAGTTGCCATCAAATTTTGCTTTTACATATTACATTCACTTCAGTTAAAACCACTAAGCTTGGCTTTGTCATTCAAGACATACTCTCAGCAGTGGACAAATGAGGATAAAACCAAGTCTATCCCTGACCCACAATGTGAGCCTATACTGGATTTCTGGTTCCACACAAAGTTTCATCACAAGGTAGCAGGTACATACATACCTTTCCTAATTTGGCTTGGTTTAGTAGTGATATGGTGTGATAGAAAGGTAAGTTTGCTGCCCCAGGAGCCAGGACTCATCTGCCAGGAGGAATGTGCTGACGTCAACAACCTGGGATTGTCATTTCATTGCTAGACTCTGGAATGCAGTGACTCAACTACCTAAACCGGTCTGGTAATTGAGGCATCTCTGCTCTCCCAGCAGAGACAGACAGATCCCACAGAGGTTAGCCTAACATTTGTGGTTTTCCTGCCTTTATTTTCCTAGCAGAGGCACCACCTAATGGTAGCCCTTTAGGAGTATCCTCAGAGACTTCAGGTCCTGTCCAGCTTCCTCCCGCTAACCAACAATAATCTGGCAAAGGCCTCCATCTTTTACTTAGAGTTCCTTCTCACTGTTCTATATGGAGTGGAAGAAAGACAGCTCTGGGAGGTAGAATCTGGAAGGTCAGAAGCTCCAACCCAGGCCAGGGGCTGCTGCTTCTGCTTCTGTGTGAACTGAGGTCAAAATTCCCTCCTAACCTAAGCTTCTTTTTATGCACTATTCAGTCCATAGGTGCCTGGAGATGACAGGAAACTGCTACTTATTCATATTGAGAAATCCATCTCTGCAATATCTACCACAGAGTCTTGGTTAGACACTGTGCATATTTGCTTCAACTAGAATCCTACAGATATTGATGCTTTTTAGCTGTTTATATAAGATCAACAATTCTTTCCTCCATCCAGAGTAAACTTTGAAGACTGTTTATAACCCGAGAGTGGCATTGGTCAGTAGCATACCATGGAGTTCTCAGACTCACAGTGCAGAAAATGTTCCAGTCTATCCTTTCCCCTCTCTTGGGGACGCTCTGCCCTGTGTTTGACTTTGTACTCTTTCACCATCATCCATAAATCATGATGAATGTAAAGCTTCATCTCTCTTTGGGTTAGACCTGACACAAGCCACTGCTTTTTCTGTCACATTGATTTTTCTGTCCTTACAGACTCAAATCCTGGTGGAGCAGACTCTAACACAGGGTTGAGTCTTTCCACTAGGAAGTTTTGCAATCTTATTTACAGCTGGAATAAAGCTTGGCAGGGAGGGCCAAAGGGGAACTGCAGCCTTGCACTGCTGAAGTATGCATTTAGTCCTGTTTATTCAAGCTGAGATTATGATTCCCTAGCTGTCCCAAAACATAGGCATTTGGAAATGCAAATCCACTGGAATCTAGGTGTTTGGGGGATAAATGGCTTAACTGGTGTGGGTGAGGTATGTTTTCATTTCATAGGTATATTGGTTTTAGAAGTGGATTCTACAGAACAACTTTCTAAAGTAGTACATCTTTTCAAATGCTCTCTTGTCCCTGTAACCATGACTTAATCCTCAAAGAAAACAAGGTAATCTTTTCAAATAAACATTCTCAAGGATGTTTAGAGAGAATCCCAAAGCTCAAAAGCTAGTTCTCTCATGTATAAATCTTGAGATATATGTGGTATTCTGGGTTGTGGGAGTGTACTTAGAATAAACACAAGTGTTTGTAAACATTGGAGTTTTCATATGTAGAGGAATAAAAAGATGTCTGCAAACAAAATGGGTATACAAAGAAGTTACTTAGGTTCTTACTTCTCAATCTTATTGGAGTGGAGAAGTGTGGGGTGTTGCTGGTTTCAATTTATACTTGCCAAACTTCTTCAAGTTTGATATAAATGTCTTCCCATGTTAAATACCTTACCCTTAGGTCATAGTTTTAGAACTGGAAGGGACCTTTGAGGTAATCAAATTTGACTTCCTCGTTTTACAGAGAAAGATAATTAAGTCTTGTTTTTCTTGTAACTACAGCATCATCAAAAATAACTGAGCACCCACAAAGTCTACTGTACTCATAGAAACCTAGGCTTCTCTAGAAGAAACCTCATCCCATGCCACTCTGTCCAATCAGTGCCCTTCCTTTCAACCCCCCTGACACACCAGGCCAGGTAGAGGAGTTGATATAGTCCCAGCTCTCTGTTGCTCCTTCCAGATTCTTTTTTGCCACCATTCCTGAGTGTCATATCTGCCTTTCAGGTTTGTTCCTTCTGCTCACATCCCCTGTATACATCTTTGTTGCTTTCATCTCCTGCCTTCCATGTCATTCTCCATCCTTTTTCATAATATTCATTATCTGGTTCACAATTTTTCCCCACCCCACTATCCATTCCTTGGTGACTTCACTCCTCTCACTGATATCCTTTTGAACACCTTGTTCTTCTGCTTCATCAACAATCTTTACTCACAACACTTCCATCTTCACTCTATTTAAACCAGCTGTATAGGTCATCACAACTTAGACCTCACCCTAACCCACAAAGTTCCATATCCATGAAATTGAATTCTAAAATTCTCCTTTTCCCATCTTTCCATCTTCCTTTTTTTCTTTATCCTTCTGAACTTACTCTTTTTTCTTGCTTGACCACTAGTCTTTCCTTTTCTCTCAGTTCCCCTGGCCATCAACATTATTCTGGCCTCACCTTCCTCCTTTCTCAGACTTGACTTTATAGTAAAACAGTTCATCAAGGTGCTATGCTTCACACTGGAATGCCTCCTTGTTCTTCTGCTTTTCTTGCCCTGCCAGTTCTGAACTTTAGGACACTCCTATTGTTAAATTGTTTTCCAGTTGAATCTGACTCTTTGTGATTCCATTTGGGGTTTTCATGGCAAAGATACTGAAGTGGTTTTCCATTTTCTTCTCCAGCTCATTTAACAGATGAGGAAACTGAGGCAAACAATGTTAAGTGACTTGCTCAGGATCACAACCAGTAAGTTTTTGAGGCTATATATAAACTCAGAAGGATAAGCCTTCCTGACTCCAGACCCAGCACTCTTATCCATTGAGCCACCTAGCTGCCCAGGACACTCCTACCATCCCACCAAAATTAGATGACCACTTGTTGGGCATGTGGTAGAGGAGATTCTTGTCAAGGTACAAGTTGGAAAAGATGTCCTCTGAGGTCTTTTCCAATTCTGAGATTCTGTAATACTGATCCTCTGATGTTAAAAGCATTCGTATGCAAACAGATAACACATGGTAATATGTTGGCCCCATTTTGGTGACCAAGAGCCATTCCTTTTTCACTCTACTCTGAGTAGAATAGAGGGTACAATGGAAAGTGAGAGCTATAAGTTAGGAAAAGAATATATAACCAACATTTTTTCTTTGAAAACAAAGTTGATTAGTTAAGAATTATTTGATATACAATCTGATTTCAGAAACTTATACAAAGGTTTAAAATGGGGAGTCAAATATGGTTATAAATAATGAGAGCCAGAATTGCTTCTCCTCCACCCCCAACCATCTCCTGCCATCTCAACTCTTCTGTCAAATGAAATTGGGTTCCAGAGACTTCTTTTGTCATCAGGGACCTGACTGAGGTAAGGGGGTGGGGGAGGTAGTTGAACAGGACACCACTGACCACTTGATTTTTCTCCCGCTCAGTTAATGAAAGCATAGATTAGGGACAGATAACAGAAAGAACAATGTGTTAAGAGCTTGAATGAAGTATAAAGAAGATCAACAGTCAAGCTAGATGGAATTAGACAGTGGTTAGCTATTGATTCTGAAATAACAGCAATTTTCCCTGGTGGATCTTTTTATTAATTTATTTTTAGTTTTCAGCATTCACTTCCATAAGATTTTGAGTTTTAAATTTTCTCCTCTTGCCTCCCCTCAACCCTCCACAAGATGGCATGCAATCTGATGTAGGCTCTACATATACATTCATATTAAACATATTTTCACATTATTTATGAAGTAAAGAAGAACTCGAACCAATGGACGGAACCATGAGAAAGAAGAAAAAAAGTGGGACACTTTACAAATTTACATGCCATCCTTGTGCAGGGGCCATGCCAATTTTCTTTGTATTATTCCAATTTTACGATATGTACTACTGAAGCAAATACCTCCTGGTGGATCTTTAAAAATATCTAAGCATCAGGTCAAGGCAACTCTAAGGAGTATGACCTCTGGCATCATAAAAGAGAGCCATCTATGAAAGAGGAGCCAGTCCTTGAGAGCAGATGGATTTCTCTTTCCTTCTCCCTACAATTGACAATGGCATATTACCATGAAGTGCACTCGGCAGGGCGCAAGTCAAGAAAACTGAAGCAGGAGACAATTTTGAGAAAAGTGACCATTGGTAGCTGAGAATAGAGTCAGCTGAAGTACCAGGCATAAACCACATGTGTTCTCTAAGTATGCCTCTTTGCTAGTAGACTATGCATGTGATCATTCTTTTCACTGACATTGTATATTTGTGGGAGAGTGAACCTCAGCTTTATGGGGAGAATATCTTTGTACATTTTTTCTTATGATATTTCAATAAATGCCTTTGTTTTGCATTAATTAGGTCCACTAACTGATTGTCAAAGGGAAGTACACTGGTAGTTTTAGGAGTATAGATCCATAGAGTGCCTTGAACCCTTGATAGTAGTAGCCCCTCCCCGCCCCCAAACTAGGAAGAACAAGGAAAATTGGGTAGCCCAGAGGTATAATTATGCTTAACAGTTAAAGTTTACTTTCTAAGAGATTCAATAACTACAGGAGCAGAAAAAAATGGAAATTTTCACTTTCCTTGTTATAGTGGGCCTCGCTTTACACAATAGATAAAAATTCCTGAAAATTTGTGCACATATGGATGAGCTTTTAAATTCATAGAGACTTTGATATTTGAAGGAGATTTTTATTGACTCCTTTTGGTAAGTGCATTCTAATTTACCTGTTTCATAACTTCAGATTTTTCAATGTAGAGTTTTCTTAAAGCAAGGGACACCTATATTACCACTATAAAATTGGGAGAAACATCAGTAAGGATTATTTGACCCTAGGAAGTTTACTACCTTTCAAAGAAGTTTTGACAGTGGCTGTTTGTTCTAGTTAATTCAGTTTGTATTTGGCAAGTCTTCCAGTTGGGGGCTAATTATATTGATAGAATTATATTTTAAGTCTCAAGCTATACAACTGAAAGCAAATCTAAGGTTAATAAAAGTTTGTCAAATTAAATTAAGTTTAAAAATTATGTCTTTTATTCAAACATTCAGCCTATACCTTCAACTTCTACTCCAAGGGCCTCTAAATTTTTTGTGTAATGGATGCCTTTGGCAATCTGGTGAAATCTATGGGCTCCTTGTCAGAGTAATATTTTTAAAAGCACAAAATAAAATATATGATATTTCAAAAGAAATCAATTATATTGATCTAAACTTCTAGGTCCTTGGGTTTGGTCTTTTGACTGAGTCCAAATTTTGCAGAACAAATCCTTTTATTAAGGAGATTTGTTCTGTGAAGTTTGGATTCAGTTATACAGCTGTACTTGAGGATCTAGAGGGCCACATGTGGCCTCGAGGCCTCAGGTTTCCCATTCTTGAATTCTACAGGACAATTTGTTTAAAGAAGAAAAGCCCACCCAAATAGATGGACTCCCTAAAATCTAGCCACAGACCCCTCTGGTCAAAATTCCTTGTCTCCCTTGTATAGAAAGGCTACTTTACTTTGGTTTTCAACTAGAACTTCTGACTACCAACTTCATCCTCCTCTCTTTGACTCACATCCTATAGTGAGGCTGTTTTAGGGTATTTCCAACAAACTGACTTTAGCATCATTTGTTGGCCTCAATAGTAAAAATAAACCTTCTCATTTTGTGTTCCTGTTATTAAATATAATAATTGCATTTCAGTTTTGGAGAAAAACTTCTTACCTTTCTCTAACCTCAGATCAGTTTTATGGTACAAAGTAAAGACTGAACTGGCAGGTGCAGGGGGTTAAACAAGGAGTTCCTTGATCAACTCTGTGAGGTTAAGAGGGAGGTGAGCCTTTGTTTGGGATGCTGATTATACTGCAGTTAAATATGGCCCAAGAATCCCAGCTTCTTGGACTGAGGATGGAGATTTGCTGAGTGGTATTGAATTCCTAGAGAGTTCTAGGATCCGGCTTTCAAGGTAAGTGTTTTTATTCTGGCAACCACAGACTCCCAAGAGGTCCATGGATAGATTTTAGGGGAACTGTGAACTTGGATGGGAAAAAAATTACATTTTTATTTTTATTAACTTTTAGCTAAAAATTGGTTTTCCCTTCAATTATTCTGAGAAGGGGTCCACAAGCTTCACCAGACTGCCAAAGGGGTCCACGACCCAAAATGAGGCAAGAACCTCTATTCTGGGGAGAAAAGATAATTCCCTCAGTGGCACCTAACTCTTGAGGACGAGAATTGTGTGCATGTACCCATAACTTGAGAAGCAAATGACACCACCTTAATTTTTACTATCTTTCTATTTGGATAAGCCTTCCAGTGTGCTTTCCTTCCGAGGTCTATACAAGCTCTACGGTAATTGTTGTTGTTTTTGTTTGCCCTTCATTCTCTAAGAGAGCCATGACATCATGGAGGTGACACCATGACATGAAGGTGAATTGGATTTAAGTGAGGGAGGGCTGTGCAAAGTCACCAGCATCACTTTCTCCTCTGGAGCCATCTTAGACCAGATGTGTATCTTGTCTAGGGTAATACCATAATGCTAAAGGCCTATACATATAAATAAAATGACACTCATCGATATTCTTCACACAGAGGTTATTCCTCTGGCAATGTCAAATAAATTCTTCTTAAATCACAAGATAGTGTAATAAATCTGGAAACCATCTAGCGCCCCAGGGTAAAGACAGACTTCACTGGAGAAAGAGGAAAACTTCACTAGTTTTTTATGTCAATAGAGAATGATTAGGGTTTTCCATATTTTCTATGAAATGATATTAGTGACTAACCTATACCTCACATACATTGTCAACTTAAATAAATGCATGAGAGCTGGGTACAATTTTACCAAAATCTGTAGAAATTTGAACATGAGTTATATTCAAGTGTATTTTGATGTTCTACGTGGGAACTTTTGTTGGGGACAAAATGAATTAAAGAGATATTTTTTGGGGGTCACCAACCGAGGAGTGAATCAAGTCTATATGAGTCATGAGCTTTGGGTACTGGACCATGGGTTATAGAAATAATTTTGTCAGATTCCTGGCCAAAGGAAAACATATCATGCCCCTACCTACCTGTTTCCCCTTCTGTTTGGCTGATACTTTAAGTATACAGTTTGTTTCTAATATCTTGGTGCATTTTAAGCTTTTCTTATGCCCTGTCTTATTTGGCTCATATAAATCACTTTGTAAACCTTAAAGCACTATGTAAATGCTTGTTATTATAATTATCTTAGGAATAAAAAAAGTGAAGATGCATATTAAATTACTTTAAATGAGATGTTGTTTGTTGAGTCATATTCAACTCTTCATGACCCCACTTTGGGGTTTTCTTAGCAAAGTTTTTGTCATAGTTTGCCATTTCCTTCTCTAGCTCATTTAATAGATGAGGAAATTGGGGCAAACAGGGTTAAGTGACTTACCCAGGATCACATAGCTAGTAAGTGTCTGAGGCCTGATTTGAATTCAGGAAGATGAGTCTTCCTGACTCCAGGCCTAGTGCTCTATCCACTGTATCACTTAAATGAGATAGTATTTGTAAAGTACTTAGTACAATACCTGGTACTTAATAGGCACTTATTACTTTTTTAATGACCCTCAGCTTCATAATAAAATAATATGATTCCATTTAAAAGTGGAATTAAAAACTTCTGATTTTTTTTGGGAGGGTTCAATTTAAATTTGTCTTCTTGGTTCAGTATAGTGTATTCCAAAGTAGACCAGACATCAAGAAAACTGTCCTTGTGATCATGGACAAATCTCTTAACCTCTCTGTTTTTCATTTTTCTCATTTATGGGATCGGGGGAGGGAGGCAGGTCATATGATTTCTAAGGTACTATGAAATCTATGAATACTAGTCTTCCATTTCCACTTGCTATACTTTGTAATGCTCTGTTAACTGGAAGCAATAATTTTGAGGCATGGGATTAGAGCTGGCAAAAAAATGGAAAGAGCTCCTTTTCAGACTTTTCTTACCAATATTACCATCTGCCACACTTTATGACATAGCTGGGTATCTTCAGTATGGCACTGGACTAGGAAAGCAGCAAAATGAAGGCAAAAAGAGCATTCCATAGACAGTTCTATAGTGTCTTCCACCAATGGCCTCAATCCAGTGTTCTTAGTCTCTTCACTGAGTAGTAGTGAACTTAATCAGATATTGTAAGGGTACCGTAAACATACATTTTCTGTAAGCAACAAACCTTCCCCAAAACTGATCAGTCTAGAATTTGTCTGCTCCAAGAAAGCAATATTTTATTTGTATAATCTCAAACTCTTTGGTTTCAGGATCCCTTTAAACTCTTAAAAATTCTTGAGGATCCCCAAAAGCTTTAGTTTATTTGGGTTATAGCTACCGATATTTATGATATAGTAACTAAGACAGATCATTTAAAGTATTTATTAGTTCATTTAACAGTAACAAACTCAATTCATGTTAACATAATAACATATTTTTATGAAAAAATAATTATATTTTCCAAGATAAATCTAATAAGAAGAATGGCATTGTTTTACATAATTTAAAAAATATCTTTGATATTTGACTCTATAGAAGACAAGCAGATTCTCTCATCTGCTTCTATGTTCAATTGGTTCCAATATGCTGTTTTTGTTGAAGTGTATGAGGAAAATATGATCTCAGATATATATCTGGAAAAAGGAGGAGCATTTTAATAGGCAAATAACATGTTAGTATTTTTATAAAAATAGTTTTGATTTCATGGGACCCCTATCAAGGTCTTAGAGACCCCTAGGGGTCTCACACTTTGAACACTGCCAGTATAATCAATTGTAGGCATCCTGCAACACTTCCTGCATATAGTAGAAAAGCCAATGTAGCAGACTATTTACTATTTAATCTATTTCATGGATGTAATGATTAGAATTCAGTTTAGAAATCCAGCTTGGAGAAAATTCTGTGGAAAGAAAAAT